AAAAACATCGGTCCTGTGCAGGACTGGAGTCTACTTAGCTGGTGCGACATTGTCAATCAGAGCTACAGTAGGCCTATATGAAAATGAGCCATTTGTCACACGGGCCTGCCATCATTCACTTTCAACTGGACTGTGTGTTTACAGTCAGTAGCAACAGCACGACTTTAGATCATTGGAACACATTCGCCAAAAGTCACAATACACCTGAATGGATTTCTGCAAATATGTAAATACTACAGGAGTCTTCCATTTGGGAACTTCACAATCCTATTGATCAGACAACCATGAAAAGGTAGGCTCTCTCCCTCAGTTGCCTATGCACATCAACAAGATCAACAACTAATGCTAGTCAGAGCAAGATGAGCTAAAATCTAACGAGGGAACATTAGATAAACCCTCTCAAACTTTTTCAGCTAGTTGGCCGTCAAAATTGCACTGATAAACGATGGGGAATAGTAGCCTGCTCGTTCTTCTGCAGCTTGCCTGCCAATGCATGCTTGTCTCAACCCATGTTTTGACAACTGAATGGGAACTTGACTGCCTATCCGCACATTTGATCGATGCCAAATACATTTGAAAGACAACTAAGAGAGACAGTGCATTCGGAAAGTATTCAGACCCCTTTACTTTTTCCACATTTTGTTACGTTACAGCCTTATTCTAAAATGGATTTAAAAAATCTTCAATCTACACACAATAACCCATAATGATAAAGCGAAAACTGGTTTTTAGACATTTTTGCAAATGTATTAAAAATAGAAATACCATATTTACGTAAGTATTCAGACCCTTTGCTATGAGACTCGAAATTGAGCTCAGGTGCATCCTTTCCATTGATCATCCTGGATATGTTTCTATAACTTGATTGGAGTCCACCTGTGGTAAATTCAATTGATTGGACATAATTTGGAAAGGCACACACCTGTCTATATAAGGTCCCACAGTTGACAGTGCATGTCAGAGCAAAGACCAAGCCATGAGGTCAAAGGAATTGTCCTCTGAGACAGGATTGTTTCGAGGCACAGATCTGGGGAAGGGTACGCACGAGTGGCTTCGGGACAAGTCTCTGAATGTCCTTGTGGCCCAGCCAGAGCCAGGACTTGAACCCGATCAAACATCTCTGGAGAGACCTGAAAGTAGCTGTGCAGCGATGCTCCCCAGAGAAGAATGGGAGAAACTCCCCAAATACAGGTGTTCCAAGCTTGTAGCGTCATACACAAGAAGACTCGAGGCTGTAATTGCTGCTAAAGGTGCTTCAACAAAGTACTGAGTAAAGGGTCTGAATACTTATGCAAAAGTGATATTTCAGTTTATCTTTTAAAAATAATCAGTTTTTTGCTTTGTCATTATGGGGTATTGTGTGTGTGTGTGTAGATTGCTGAGGGAGGGGAGGGGAGGGGAGGGGGGGGAACAAACTATTTAATCTGTTTTTAGAATAAGGCTGTAAAGTAACAATGTGGAAATAGTCAAAGGGTCTGAATACTTTCCGAATGCACTGTGTACACAATTATTATTTTTTATTTTTTTAATTTTTTACAATAAATGCTCATTAGTACTATAATGGTATTTACTAACATAACTATATTACTAAAATCGTTTCTAAAAGTGTTGTATGTTACCCTAGCCTAGAATTAGGGTTACAGTCTTTTAAGGGTTATGGCTAAAATACGGTTTAGACCTAACATTTTTTTTAATCCAATGCTTCAGACAGAAAGAGTATCTTTTTAATATGATTTTATAAAACCAAAATTGTTACTGTCGTTAACGGGGTCCTAAAATAATTACGCATAATAGTTGTTTGATGCCTGTTTGATGTCTAGCTGTTTAGTTCCGTCAGGACATTATCACGCAACATCAGCTGATTCAGGAAAGGATTTTCTGAATGACAGTCAAGTGATAAAGAGCTTGTGTGATACTGCACACAAAATAACAGCCAAAGTGTGGGAATTAATGTTGATCTCGAGGATTGACAGAACATTTTGGTGTCTGTTGCTATGGCGGTCAAGATAATTAGCCTACTTCCTGGACAACATTAAATCAAGATTCCTGAGATAAGATTACGGTCCGTGTACATTTTTGATCGTTTGTTTTCAGAGTTAACGCGGTGCAATCCGGAACGTGAAAACAGCCTGTTTATTCAAAAAACATGTTTTTATAGAAATCAAAACATTTAAAAATGGCTTCTTTTTTTTGTGCATATAAAAACAACTTGATATTTTGACCTTCAAATGTGAGTGGGGTTAAATGTGGAATACCTGGTCAAGTGCACAGCAAATAATAATAATATGCCATTTAGCAGACGCTTTTATCCAAAGCGACTTACAGTCATGTGCTCATACATGTTTACGTATGGGTGGTCCCGGGGATCGAACCCACTACCCTGGCATTACAAGCGCCATGCTCTACCAATTGAGCTACAGAGGACCAAACACTTCCTGTCCTTTCAAAGTAGGTGGTCATCCTTCTCACTCTATTCTATGAGTCTATTATCTATTCATTACTTGGTTAATAGCTGCCTATACAGTGCCAAGATAAGGTAAGATTTCTGCATAGTGTGTATTGACTTATTAATGAACTGCTGTTACTGTAAATGGTTAGCTGACTAATATATCCTAGCTACCTAGCTAACCATTGGTAATCTTATTAAATTATGCTATACAGCCAAAGCAGCTATCTATTGCTAGACTAGAGATATCCCCTAGCTATAGTTAGTCAGTGGTTGCACATCTAACTAGCTGGAATGAAGCAAGGGTGTGATTAGACATGTAAATATGTCCGTTCACTGTTTCCAGCAGGCCTCCAGCTACCCACACCTGTCTGGTCAGCCTGATAGGGTGCCGTGGGTGTGTCCAGCTTACACCTGTGCAAATCTGTGTGTGTGTGTATAGGAATGGAATTAAACATCCAACCAATGCCTAAGGGTTGTGGGGTCCTGTCCAGAAACAGCCCCTACCCTTAGACACTTGTGGAGATCTGAGAGAATTGGGCAGGTGTAAACAATACCGCCAAAATTCCACCAAGCCTATCAGAGGGTAAGATCTGGGTAATATCTCAGATCTCCACAATTGTCTAGAATCTGGGCAGTAGGAGCTAGTGGTTGTTTCTGGACATGCCATGGGTGTTATGGTAAGTCAGTCTACCACTGTTAATTGTAATAGCTGTCAAATACTTGCTTCCTCTGTCCTCAATTGCATTTCCTTGATTCGTTGCATCCGCTCTCCTCGTCCCCTTCTCAAAACCCATTGGATGAGCAGGTCAGAGGTCCCTCCCCTCTCACCTTCTTGTTTCCTCCATTCCTCACCTCCCTCTCAAAGCACATTGGGGAAGATTCATCCCCTCGGGCTCCAGTGAACTTTCAAGGAGTGGAGGAAACAAGGACAGAGGAAGCAAGAATGTGATATCTAGACTCATATTCCTGTAACTACACGTGAAGCTGCAAGAAAAGCATATTTAAATGTATATCAAACCATTTAGACATGTTTACCCTGTCACACATTGGCCCCTTTATTTATAGAAAGACCCTTATGCTAGTAAATGTCATTGCTATCAACAGCGAATCTAGCATTGTGGCGCAGAACAATGGGCTGGGAATAGAACGTACGGAAGGTGAGTTGGTGCCACGTCGCTCAATAGAACTAGTAGGAGCTGGCAGGGTGAAAAATGACCTAAAATGAGGCCTGTTTTTCCGCGATTAATTCAAAATTATGGCAAGCAGCTGGGACATACGGTAATATTGTGAAACTGGACTCCATGGCGGATGCAATCAACACATTTTCATCAGAAAAAAGGTGGCCGAGCTACAGTGGTGTTTGTCAGACCATGAGACATCCCGAAAATCGGTCTTCTCACGAAAATGTTTGTAGCGTTGAAACGGTTTGGCCTACAGACTAATATGACCACTCTATGAAAATCTCCTTTTTGCCCCACAAGCGTCACAGGACTCGGCTGAAGTCTGTACCACCAATCTGCCAACATCTGTCTGTAACGTCCGAACAGTTTAGGCTACACACTAATATGATCCCTATATGGAAAGGATAAATATAAAAATCATTTCCTGATCTTTCCTATATCTCAGCTATAGGACGGACACTTTAAAATACACTTCCTTTTTGATTAATTTTTTTACTTTTTTCCCCCAATGTATGAATCTGTTGATCAATGTGTTTCTATGGGCTAATAGCAGTAAGGCCAAATATGTTTCTTCAAATACATTTTTGATATATTTTCTTATACCTAAAGGGTCCTAAAATGAAATGGCAAAATTGTCCTTGGAATGACCATCTTAAAACAAATAGCAGCCAGCCAGACACCCATCTAACATTATCGCTGTTCTCCACCTACTGTACTGTCTTTAGTCATCCTATTAAGCTAGGCTAGCCTGCCTAAGGATGCTGCAGAGCTGTCTGACAATCATTTTAGTCGTTTTTCAAAGTAGATAAGGCATACTTTGAAGCACTGTCTCTATCCCCCTCTCTCGTCGTTGTGTACATTCCCCTCTCATGCGGCGGCGCATGCGGTCTGTGTGTATCTAACCAAATGTAGCAGGCGTAAATGTGTATCCATCTGTCTGAGCCGGGAAAGAACGGCTGCAATGGATTATGGTCATTTCTGCGCTGAACAAAGTTGAATATTTGCTTACTCCCTTCAGCCCAGAGTCCCATATAGTTCTTGACTTCAGTTCTCCGAACTAAATGGAATTTAAGTAATTGAACCAACGTTGACAATTTTGTTCTTTTAATAACCCACCCAAAAAAACAATTTTGGTTAACACTAGCTTACATAGGAATGGAATAGATATAATAGCCCTTGTGTGACCGAGAGCAACAACAACACCCATTGTTTCCCTGATTGTCTAACCTCCAATGGTGTAGTAAACAACCTGAAGAAACACAATTTCATGGCAGGAAAGCCATATCAAGCCCCCCCCCCCCCCCCCCCATCCTCCCGTGCCTGCTGTGTCCACTCTCCACCATTATAACTCTGCTATTCTGTTTGAAAAGATGGCATACCCCAGAACCCACAACCCATTTGCAGATGAGGAGGAGGAGGAGGAGCAGCACCGGTCAAGTGGAGGATTTGACGACCCCCAAGAGAGGGGGATGAGCGAGGCAGAGAGGAAGCAGAGATTCCTCCAACAGGAAGTGATGCGTACGGCCAAGTCGGCAGTGGTCAGCAGCCAACGCTCCCTGGGGCTTATCTATGAGTCGGAGAAGATCGGCACTGAGACTGCAGAGGTATGCCTTTTATACAGTGCATTCGGAAAGTATTCAGACCCCTTGACTTATTCCACTTTTGTATTTACGTTACAGCCTTACTCTATTTTTTCCTCATCAAGCTACACACAATACCCCATAATGACGAAGCAAAAACAGGTTTTTAGAAATGTTTGCAAAAAAAAACAAATTACTCAATACTTTGTTGAGGCACCTTTGGCAGCGATTACAGCCTCGAGTGTTCTTGGGTATGACGCTACAAGCTTGGCACACCTGTATTTGGGAAGTTTCTTCCGTTCTTCTCTGCAGATCCTCTCAAGTTCTTTCCGGTTGGATGGGGAGCGTCGCTGCACAGCTATATTCCAGAGATGTTCAATCGGGTTCAAGTCCTGGCTCTGGCTGTGCCACAAGGACATTCAGAGACTTGTCCCGAAGCCACTCATGTGTTGTCTTGGCTGTGTGCTTAGGGTTGTTTTCCTGTTGGAAGGTGAACCTTCGCCCCCAGTCTGAGGTCCTGAGTGCTCTGGAGCAGGTTCTCATCAAGGATCTCTCTGTACTTTGCTCCGTTCATCTTTCCCTCGATCCTGACTAGTGTCCCAGTCCCTGCCGCTGAAAAACATCCCCACAGCATGATGATGATGCTGCCACCACCATGCATCACCGTAGGGATGGTGCAAGGTTTCGTCTAGACGTGACGCTTGGCATTCAGGCCAAAGAGTTCAATCTTGGTTTCATCAGGCCTGATAATCTTTAGGTGCTCTTTGGCAAACTCCAAGTGGGCTGTCATGTGTCTTTTCCTGAGGAGTGGCTTCGGTCTGGCCACTCTACCGTAAAGGCCTGATTGGTGGAGTGCTGCAGAGATGGTTGTCCTTCTGGAAGGTTCTCCCACCTCCACAGAGGAACTCTGGAGCTCAGTCAGTGACCATTGGGTTCTTGGTCACCTCCCTGGCCAAGGCCCTTCTCCCCCTATTGCTCAGTTTGGTGGTTCCAAACTTTTTCCACTTAAGAATGATGGAGGCCACTGTCTTCTCTGGGACCTTCAATGCTGCATACATTTTTTGGTACCCTTCCCCAGATCTGTGCCTTGACACAATCCTGTCTCGGAGCTCTACGGACAATTCCTTCGACCTCATGGCTTGGTTTTTGCTCTGACATGCACTGTCAACTGGGGACCTAATATAGACTGACGTGTGTCTTTCCAAATCATGTCCAATCAATTGAATTTACCACAGATGGACTCCAATGAAGTAGAAACACCTCAAGGATGATCAATGGAAACAGGATGCACCTGAGCTCAATTTTGAATCTCATAGCAAAGTGTCTGAATACTTATGTAAATAAGGTATTTCTGTTATTTTTAATACATTTGCAAACATTTCAAAAACTTTCACTTTGTCATTATGAGGTATTGTGTGTAGATTGATGAGAAATATTACATTTAGAATAAGGCTGAAACGTAACAAAGTGGAAAAAGTCAAGGGGTCTGAATACTTTCCGAATGCACTGTATGCAGCATTGATCTTTGAACACATTGGGTTTCACTGACTGTCTGTATTGGTGTAAGTTAAAATTGCCCCTAGACGCTGATCTGTAGCTAGGGGAAACTTCATTGTTAGCATGTATTTCCCCAAGTTTTTCGACCACTGTAAAGCGTGAAACAGCTGACTGCATTTGATAACATTGATTTCCTCTCCGTGTCCGTCCGTAGGAGGTGATACGTCAGGGGGAGGCTCTGAAGAGGACTGAGAGGATGGTGGACAACATGGGCAAAGACCTGGAAACCATCCAGAAACACATCAACAGCATTAAGAGTGTGTGGGGAGGCCTTGTCAACTACTTCAAGGCCAAGCCTGAGACCACCAAGCCCCCGCCAGAAGAACCTGTTGCCTACCAAGCCAGCAGCAAGTAATGCCCAGTCCCTCCCTGCTCATTCCTTATACCTCCATCTCTGTACTCTGGCATGTGTTGTTGCTATGTACATTGCTAGTTAACAACCTTTCATGGGGTATCCCGAACATTCCACCATCAATAGTTCCTTGTTGACTCAGGACTGAGTATTTAGGCTATCCGCAGTGATACCATCATAGTTTCTGCCATGTTGCCCATACAACTCCTGTGTGAAGACTGAAGAGGTATAAGATGGCTGTAGAGGGCTCACTCTGACACAGTCTGTCTTAACTTTTTCCTGTGTGTTAAAGTCTCTGATAAGACCGTGAGGTGTGTAATATCTTTAATGTTTGGTCAAAGATCATCCTGCTTCGAGTCTCTGACTGTTCCGTGTGTGTGTGTGTTAGATTGCAGAATGCCATGTCTCACAGTAAAGAGCATGAAGACAAGTACCAGGCCAGTCACCCCAACCTGAGGAAGTTGGACACTGAAGGTAAGGCCTCAAACCTCAGCCACATAATAATATCTCCTTTGTCATCCCTTGTTCCCTTTCAGTTGGTCAACTCGGTACAACACCGCTATGAGAAGTTTGCATGCTAGAGCCCTCTACTGAAGAATATTAGAATTACGCCTGACAAGGCCAGTGAACACCGTGCCTCACTGGGAGCTCCAGCTTCCACAGGTGATAAACCCGAGGCACAGATTCATTCCTTCAATTCCTCCGCTCTTAACCTAGAGCTGAGCATAACAATTTACTAATTTTAAGAAAAAGCACATTGGAACGCAAAATGTTATCAGGCTTTACGCCAACTTAACTCTCCTACGTAAGGACGGCGTGCTCATCAATCTGGACATTGTGTGTTAACGTTTGGTAACTAGTTTTGTGAAGTTCCCTACAATTTGTTAGTTATTCTTCGGCCTGTTTAGCCTCGCTAACTAGTTGTAAGTTAGATGACTAGCACGAACGCGTCGATGAAGGCTGTTAAGTTCACCATCTTACCCACAGTCAATGTCTTTGAATGATACTCATGAGTGTTGTCTTGTATGTCGCCGGCTGCCTGCAAGCTCTCTCTCGTGTGTAGCCTTCCTTAGAAGGCTTGGTGAGACTGAAGTTGACTTTCCTCCCCTGGGGGCTTGTACCTCAGCAGAGTTTGAGTTGCAGGATAGGGGGTGGATCTGGGCTCATGGTCTGATCACATGGAGCTATCCTCCCAACATGGCAAATATGGAGCTGGCTGGTAACTCTGTCTCCTTCGGTTTTACACAGTACTCTCATTGGAATGACGATGTGGTGTCTCTGGCCGGTTATGGGCTTTTTATCTGAGATGGGGGGGTTTGGCTTCGGATGTAGCAAGGCTTCTAGCGCACCGCTAATTGATCTGTCGCAGAGCGGCTGCTCGCTTGTTAGTGGAGTGGCCGACCTCAGTGGGGTGACCTTTTGCTTCTACGGCAGCATAGTCTTCTAGAGTGTCTGCAGACCGAGGCCTGGCGGCTAAGCGGGCGGCCCCGGCTTCCAGGTCAACCCAAGTCTGCTCCTCCTTACCCTGTTCCACAAGAACAGTGCCAGTCTGCTGCATATCCACATCATTTTCCTTCCTCATGATGCCATTTATTTGGTGAAGTGCACCAGTCCCTCCTGCAGCAAAGCACCCCCACAGCATGATGCTGCCACCCCTGTGCCTCACGGTTGGGATGGTGTTCTTTGGCCCCCTTTTTCCTCCAAACATAACGATGGTCATTATGGCCAAACAGTTCTATTTTTGTTTCATCAGACCAGAGGACATTTCTCCAAAAAGTACGATCTTTGTCCCCATGTGCAGTTGCAAACCGTAGTCTGGCTTTTTTATGGCGGTTTTGGAGCAGTGGCTTCTTCCTTGCTGAGTGGCCTTTCAGGTTATGTCGATATAGGACTTGTTTTACTGTGGATATAGGTACTTTTGTACCTGTTTCCTCCAGCATCTTCACAAGGTCCTTTGCTGTTGTTCTGAGATTGATTTGCACTTTTCGCACCAAAGCACATTCATCTCTAGGAGACAGAACGCGTCTCCTTCCTGAGCAGTATGACTGCTGCGTGGTCCCATGGTGTTTAAACTTGCGTACTATTGTTTGTATAGCTGAACGTGATACCTTCAGGCGTTTGGAAATTGCTCCCAAGGATGAGCCAGACTTGTGGAGGTCTACAACTTGTTTTCTGAGGTCTTGGCTGATTTCTTTTGATTTTCCCATGATGGCAAGCAAAGAGGCACTGAGTTTGAAGGTAGGCCTTGAAATACATCCACAGATACACCTCCAATTGACTGAAATGATGTCAATTAGCCAATCGGAAGCTTCTAAAGCCATGACGTCATTTTCTGGAATTTTCCAAGCTGTTTAAAGGCACAGTCAACTTGGTGTATGTAAACTTCTGACCCACTGGAATTGTGATACAGTGAATTATAAGTGAAATAATCTGTCTGTAAGCAATTGTTGGAAAAATTACTTGTCATGCACAAAGTAGATGTCCTAACCGATTTGCCAAAACTATAGTTTGTTAACAAGAAATTTGTGGAGTGGTTAAAAAATTAGTTTTAATGACTCCAAACTAAGTGTATGTAAACTTCCGACTTCAACTGTATATATGTTATATATCGATAAGTCACTTATTAAATAATGACCTCTTATCAGTCTCATTCTGAACGTCGCATAATCCTTGAACCTGCAAGAACCCTAACCTTATTGATGAATCAGCAAAACACAAATTGGCTTAATTATTTATTTACTAACTAAATAATAATAACACACACACACACAGGTTATTGATTACTAACATAATACAATGAAAACAGGTCCCTAGTGGACTGGACTAACAATAGCATGAATGCTTGGGTAGAGGGAGGGTTGGCTGATTTAGAGGAGGGGGGGGGGGAAAGAGACCAACGGACATTTGTAAACTATGCTCATGGAAATACAAATGTTTAGCTTCCACTCATTCGGATTAGAAATGCAACATATATTTACTTGTAGCTGGCCTCGATAGTTGAGTTGATGATATAGGACTCTGGTTTGCCCACCAGAGATCCCAATGTCCAGAGTTTCTGGTCGTAGTGGTGGTTAAAATGGATACTTCAGCGTACCCTGTAGTTCGTAGAGTTGATCTGTTAGATACTTCAGATGTATCAACGGTTGTCGGAGTCGGATTGTCCTTCCCAACTCGTGTCTTTAGTGAAAGTTCTCTAGACGACTATACATGCCAGCTGCAGACTGGTAATGCTAAGGTCTAGTGCTTTGTCGTCTTCTTCACCTCGTGTAGAGGTTGAGCGTTTCAAAGTTTCTACATGGTCTAACCATTTTGTAACGTTTAGCTCACGCTTCACGTCTGCTGGTCTGTAGAATGTCAACCATTTAAAGCCGTGGGGCTTCCTGGTCTTCTTGGTCTAACCATTTTAAGCCGTGTAGCTTCACGCTTCCTGGTCTGGTAGAAATTCAACCATTTGCAACATCAGGTTTATACCATAATCTGCTTGGTCTGAGGTGAATTTTGTCACGAGGGGTTTTATACTTGAGTAGAAAAGGGGGCGTTTCATTGTGCTCATCTGGGCGTGGCCACTGACTGAGAACAAATCAATATGGAAACAATCATCTCATCTATAATGCTAAAATCACATTATCTTCCTAAAAGTATTGTACTTAATCATTCGTTTTGTACAACAATTAGATGCAAACCTCATAACTGGGAAGTGTACCCCCCCAGAGATACAGTTATGTTGTTCCACAGTCTTTAATGACATCACAACATAGTAGCGAATTTGACATGATTGTTCTTTAAGTCGCCACCGACCATTTCCCACATTCTTTGAAGTATGAATATTGTTTCATTATCCACTTTTGGATGTTGGAGTCTTGGTGGGAAGACTTCCTTTGTTCCTCAAGGAAATTCCCTCTCCCAATACGGCATGGCATGGAAAATAATGTTTCTGCAAGGAATTTACGACCGGTCATAAAACTGGCCCCCAGGAAAGGGGGTGTTCAAACCTTTGCCTAGCCGGCATTTTGATCTTCAACCCATGAGGGTAAGTCATGACAATTGTGGCCTGTGCAATGTTTTCCCAAGTTGCTGGATATTGGCAGGAACAGGAACAAGCTGTCATACACATCGATCCAGAGCATCCCAAACATGCTCAATGGCTGACATGTCTGGTGAGTATCCACGCGATGCCATACACGCTGTCTGCCCGTTACAGTTGAAACTGGGATTAATCTGTGAAGAGCACACTTCTCCAGCGTGCCAGTGGCCATCGAAGGTGAGCATTTGGCCACTGAAGTCGGTTACGACGCTGAACTGCAGTCAGGTCAAGACCCTGGTGAGGACAACGAGCACGCAGATGAGCTTCCCTGAGACGGTTTCTGACAGTTTGTGCAGAAATACTTTGGTTGTGCAAACCCACAGTTTCATTAGCTGTCTGGGTGGCTGGTCTCAGACGATCCCGCTGGCGTGGTTACTGGTTGTGAGGCCAGTTGATCTTACTGCCAAATTATCTAAAACGACGGAGGCGGCTTGTGGTAGAGAAATTAACATTTAATTATCTGGCAACAGCTCTGGTGGACATTCCTACAGTCAGCATGCCAATTGCACACTCCCTCAACTTGAGACATCTGTGACATTGTGTTGTGTGACAAAACTGCACATTTTAGAGTGGCCTTTTATTGTCCTGTGTAATGATCATGCTGTTTAATCAGCTTCTTGATATGCCACTCCTGTCAGGTGGATGGATTATCTTGGCGAAGGGGAAATGCTCACTAACAAGGATGTAAACACATTTGTGCACAAAATGTATTTCAGCTCATGGAACATGTGACCAACACATTGTTGCGTTTTATATTTTTGTTCAGTGTATTTCCTGATATTATGCGACCTCACATACTTTGGCCGAGACAGGCCTGTCTGTGATTTGTTGAAGATCACTATTATGCAAATGAGAAGCAGCTTTTTTACGTCTTTATTTTGCTCATATTGTAATTAATTATAGGTCATATTTCATAGAAATCTGGAACACTGGGCAGCTACTTTAAGCAAAAGGATAATTTTCTGTCCATGACATTTCCTACTGTGTGTGTTGTAGGGTTCGGAGCATCTGCATCAGTCGATGACAGCTCATCCAATCAAAATGGCTACCCTGCGAACAGACAGCTTAGAGCCGCCCACCAGACACTGGACAACAACTTAGGTAAGAGCCTTCTAGGACCTATGGGAAATAAAGAATTACATTTGTGGTAATTTTATTCATGACCTTTGATGGCAATCAACAACAAAAAAATTCAGACTCCTTATCAGCAGTAACATCTGTTTTTGTATATCAGTTTCTGTGTGAAGCCGAAGACAAATTTCCACATTTTGTGGACAATTTAAGTTTTTCTAATTCTAATGAACCCCTGTGTTCTTGAACTGCTCCAGATGAGATGTCCCTGGGCCTGGGCAGGTTAAAGAACCTGGGACTGGGCCTCCAGTCTGAAATTGAGAATCAGGACACTTCTCTGGACAATCTGCTGGGCAAGGTGGACAAGATGGACCTCAAGATCAACAAAACCAACCAGCAGATCAAAAACCTGAAATAATAACAGTCCCAAATATTCTGACTCACCCGACAGAGACACCGGTCAACTCAACTCCCCTTACCTGGGTTTCGCCGCACAGCAGCTCTCTGTGCACCAAGATGTCTTATTCCTCTATGATAGAGTATCAATGATATTGGTAATGAATGATATTCAGTTCCTCAAACAGCTCCACATGCATGCATAGACCACCTTGAGATGTCTAGCCTTGGGTGTCACTGTTCTTGACTATTATGATTTGTTATCTTGTGATTTTTAGTAGGGAAGGATATCTACACAGCTTTGTATGTTCTCTGTGAGTAGGACCTGTGTGGTGGGTTTAAAGGGTAGTTGAGAAGTGTTGATGGTCTGTTATTGTTGCCCTCAGTTTGCATTGTGGTAAGTTGCATTTTAATTTCTGTTTGGTTGAGAAATTAATTCAATTTCAACTCACAAAGCGAGGGATCCTCTTTGAGAACGATGCGCCACTTGCATACATAAATTACATTTTAAATGGTCTGACTTAACTGAATTGAAATGCTATTGGCCCCAACGTTGATCGCTGTGTCCAAAATAAATTGAGTGTGGTGCTCGTTTGAAACTGGAATGTCATGCTGTGGTATGTATTCTGTCCGCAGCCTGTTGATTAGATGATGCATATCCTATTTGTAACTCTTGAGATGACCTACCCACAGAACTAAAATTAATGATTCATTCCATTTCTATAGACTCACCCACACTCTTGTACATAAACACACACCCCCCAGTCCCCTTGCTGCAACTGTGCTTGGTTCATTTAGAAAAAGACCAAGAACCACACCTGTTGCCTTGGAAGAATCAAGCGCCATCCACTCTTGCCTTACACTAGGTCTTGGGCTCGGATTCATTCCGATGCGCATTATAGAGTGCTGTCGACAATGCACCTTTTTAAAGGCAACGTTACGACGTATGCGGAGGTTGCATTCACAGTGAATGCTTAAATATGTCTCGTGCTCCAACGCGCCTATTAAATATCGGCCTTAATCTTTGTCCTACGGTGGCTTCCTCTCCATCTTCTTTTATTTTATGTGTGGATCTGAAAGCATGTAACAGTTGAAAGTGAACACCTGATGGTAGCCTAGTGGTTAAGAGCGTTGGGCCAGTAACTGAAAGGTCGCTGGTTTGAATCCCAGAGCCGACTAGGTGAAAAATCTGTCGATATACCCTTGATCAAGGCACTTATCCCTAATTGCTCCTGTAAGTCGCTCTGGATAAGAGTGTCTGCTAAATCACTCAAATGGAAATGGGCAACCTTCGTATTGCTGTCACCTATCCTGTGACTTCAAATGTTTGTAAAAGATGAGGAAAGGAAGCCCCTTTATTTTTACCCCCAATTGGTAGTTGGTTTTGTACCATACAAACTCTGCAGAGGTGAAGGTCAAGAGCCATGCATCCTCCGAAACACGACCCCGCAAATCCGCACTGCTTCTTGACACACTGTTCACTTAACCCGGAAGCCAGCTGCACCAATGTGTCAGAGGAAACCCCGTACAGCTGGCGACTGAAGTCAGCAATCATGTGCCTGGCCGCTACAAGGAGTCGCTAGAGCGCGATGGGACAAGGACATCCCAGTCGGCCAAACCCTCCCCTAAACCGGAAGCCGCTGGGCCAATTGTGTGCCGCCTTATGGGTCTCCTGGTCGCGGCCGGCTGCGACACAGCCCGGGATCGAACCCAGATCTGTAGCGGCGCCTCTAGCACTACGATGCAGTGCCTCAGACCGCTGCGCCACTCGGGAGGCCCAAAAGGAAGCCACTCAACACTATTGAAATGCACATCCAGTGTCTCACAACACAAGTGTCTTCTTGTATGTGTAGCCACTTCTGTTTCTCATATTATTTTTGCAAGCTACCGCTCCAAACCTTGCTAAATTTCTCAAGGGATGTCAATGTGTGGAAAAATATGGAATGGAAATTGCATTGTTAATGCTTCTTTAATTTGCTTTTTCATCCTTTTTGCTTTTGTCGTGATAATCGCCTCGTGTCTAATTTCTTTGTGATGTGATTGAGGAGAATATGTAACAGATAATGTGAATGCTCTTTGTATGATAACTGACTTCTGCAAATGGAAAGAGCATTAATGCTTTCCTGTGTGTGTGCACAGTATATTAAACACATCTGTATTACCTTTTTACAAACTTCAATGTACCCATGCTGAGAATATGGTTTAAATACAGACTTTAATTCAAGAGAAATGTATTCTGCTGTCTTCCTAGATGTTACAGTGGGGAAAAAAAGTATTTAGCCAGCCACCAATTGTGCAAGTTCTCCCACTTAAAAATATGAGAGAGGCCTGTAATTTTCATCATAGGTACACGTCAACTATGACAGACAAATTGAGAAAAAAAATTCCAGAAAATCACATTGTAGGATTTTTAATGAATTTATTTGCAAATTATGGTGGAAAATAAGTATTTGGTCACCTACAAACAAGCAAGATTTCTGGCTCTCACAGACCTGTAACTTCTTCTTTAAGAGGCTCCTCTGTCCTCCACTCGTTACCTGTATTAATGGCACCTGTCTGAACTTGTTATCAGTATAAAAGACACCTGTCCACAACCTCAAACAGTCACACTCCAAACTCCACAATGGCCAAGACCAAAGAGCTGTCAAAGGACACCAAAAACAAAATTGTAGACCTGCACCAGGCTGGGAAGACTGAATCTGCAATAGGTAAGCAGCTTGGTTTGAAGAAATCAACTGTGGGAGCAATTATTAGGAAATGGAAGACATACAAGACCACTGATAATCTCCCTTGATCTGGGGCTCCACGCAAGATCTCACCCCGTGGGGTCAAAATGATCACAAGAACGGTGAGCAAATATCCCAGAACCACACGGGGGGACCTAGTGAATGACCTGCAGAGAGCTGGGACCAAAGTAACAAAGCCTACCATCAGTAACACACTACGCCGCCAGGGACTCAAATCCTGCAGTGCGAGACGTGTCCCCCTGCTTAAGCCAGTACATGTCCAGGCCCGTCTGAAGTGCATTTGGATGATCCAGAAGAGGATTGGGAGAATGTCATATGGTCAGATGAAACCAAAATATAACTTTTTGGTAAAAACTCAACTCGTCATGTTTGGAGGACAAAGAATGCTGAGTTGCATCCAAAGAACACCATACCTACTGTGAAGCATGGGATTGGAAACATCATGCTTTGGGGCTGTTTTTCTGCAAAGGGACCAGGACGACTGATCCGTGTAAAGGAAAGAATGAATGGGGCCATATATCGTGAGATTTTGAGTGAAACCCTCCTTCCATCAGCAAGGGCATTGAAGATGAAACGTGGCTGGGTCTTTCAGCATGACAATGATCCCAAACACACCGCCCGGGCAACGAAGGAGTGGCTTCGTAAGAAGCATTTCAAGGTCCTGGAGTGGCCTAGCCAGTCTCCAGATCTCAACCACATAGAAAATCTTTGGAGGGAGTTGAAAGTCTGTGTTGCCCAGCGACAGCCCCAAAACATCACTGCTCTAGAGGAGATCTGCATGGAGGAATGGGCCAAAATACCAGCAACAGTGTGTGAAAACCTTGTGAAGACTTACAGAAAACGTTTGACCTGTGTCATTGCCAACAAAGGGTATATAACAAAGTATTGAGAAACTTTTGTTATTGACCAAATACTTATTTTCCACCATCATATGCCAATAAATTCATAAAAAATCCTACAATGTGATTTTCTGGAAAATTTTTTCTCATTTTGTCTGTCATAGTTGACGTGTACCTATGATGAAAATTACAGGCCTCTCTCATCTTTTTAAGTGGGAGAACTTGCACAATTGGTGGCTGACTAAATACTTTTTTTCCCCACTGTATATAGACCTGTTCAATGTGATGGACTTGTGTTGCTTATGGTTTTACAGTGCCCATTATTTTGCCAAATTCAGTAGTGTCCCAGCACTCTTCAGTACAGCAACATTACCCATGTAGTCATTTTTATTCACTAAAGAGATAATACCTTAGTATATTCAATATGTGTTTCTGCTTAGGCTTACTTACCATCTGTCATCTATGGGCCGGTTTCCCTGACACAGATTAAGCCTAGTTCTGAAGTAAACCTATTTTAATGTATAATTTCCATTGAGCATGCATTTTAGTCCAGGACTAGGTTTAATATGTGTCTGAGAAACCATCCCTAAAAGAACGCTAGTTGGTGAGGCTTGTGGTCCTGTTCTTTGTCACTACAAAGGTAGGAAGGTAAAGCTACCATTAGATGGAGCCATTGTCATGTTAAACAACTGTATAAAGAAATCTAACCTAACTGTAGCAGAGAGACTTCTGCTTTTGGACTTTAACCAGGCGACACTCCTCCACATTTACTGTATTGGTTAAACAGTGCAAAACAGAACCTCCCCCGACAGTTTTATTTTTGTCGTCAGGACCAGAAAGAAAGAAACGCGTCTCAGTTTACATCCGGTTGTTTTCGACCCCACTGAAGGTGAAAGAAATCAAACCCTAAACCAGAGTCATTCAGGGTTAAACAGAATAAATGTAAATATTTAGGAGCCTTTGGTGCCATATTAGGGCTTGTGAAAATGTTACATCGCCATGATCTTTGCCAAACTATCAGTGAGATTGGATATTTTTATATATATATATATTTTTAACAATGGGTCAGTGTGTTAACATGAAAAATGTCAGGCAGGCAGAGGCTTCGTACCAAATGGTACCCTATTACCTATAGAGTGAACTCCTTTTGACAGGAGCCCATAGGGACTCTACCAGATTCCCTGTCAGAGTTATGAAATTAGCAGATTTTACTCCATGAAGGTGAGGAGTGAGCTAAACGCTGCTGTATGCATGGTTTGGGGACAATTGTTCCAATTTTGTCAAACACATACTGTAAGATGGAGTGCCGTAAGGGGTAGGGTATGGGTCAATTGGAGGTGGCCAGGGTTAGTGTGGTTTACTGCTGGTTGCATAGTGTACCAGCTTTGTCTCTCTTGTCTCTCCCAGTGTACAGCAGGTCCCAGTGCTTAGTAGTC